ACTAATTTGGCCCCTGAACATTTTAATATTTAACATTTGGCCCTGAACATTTTAATATCTCACTTTCTCCTATCTTAGCAGTACTTCTCCCAGCTCAGCAACGAAAGTCTAAGACACCGACTACATAAGTAATAAAAAAATTTTCTGTCCTTTCAATGCCGCAGTAAGCAGAGTAAAAATTAAAGAAGTAAAGAAGTTGCGGCGATTTGTACTACCTGTACTGGACACACGTACGGTGTCCTTTTCAACCAATTTCTTGGTTTTGAGATCCACATTAAGCACTTCCTTCATTAACCACGATGATGCTTGCTCACTGTAGTCCATCTGAAATTTTTAATACATCAATGGATTTCAAAAAAAAGTGCAAACAGGGTACACGAGCCCAGTGAACCACTGAAAGGATTCCGTGCCAATTTTATTAGGATGCTCTCATACGGCGGTTGCAGTTATGCCAGGCCTTTCGATCTTGAGCTGCACCGTAATTCATATGTGTGCTTCACTTTTTCCAAGGCCGCTCAAATAATCCATTATTTTTTTTTTTGCATATAAAGGTCTGCCCCTGCCCCCTCCCCTCTTGCTTTCCAAAAGAAGGGAAACAAATACTATGTTCACTACTTTTAAAAATAAAATTCTTGAATACCTGACGGTTGGCTGCGCCTTTGACGAAATCTGTCCCATGTTCCATCTGTGAATGCATCGACCGTGCGAAGCCTTCCAAATCGGCGCAGAATGAGTGGATTTGTTCGCATGTCTGAAGTTTTGTTGCTGTGAAAGAAAGCGACAGCGTTTTGCGTGAAGAAGCGGCGTAAACGAAAAGCAGGTCACAAACTCATCAAAATTTCGTCAAAAAAAAAAACCCCTTTTTTAATAAATGACTTTCATGCATTATATCGTAAGGGCAATCTGTCGAATACGCTTGCAAAGGGCACGAAAACAAAAGTACACATAGGCAATGAGACGCGCTGAGAACAAATGTTCAGTACCCTGAATTACCACAATCAACATCACCGAACAAAATAATTGGCCAACGCACGGGCTACCCGTACGAAAATGCGTTTTTTGCATAGCTCCCTGCAGATTCTTGTCGCTAACGGCACTGGTTTTTCCGGCAGATGCTTCTAGCTGAAAGAATTTCAGACTGGCCACCAGAACTGTCGGGAAACATCCTCTCAAAATTCCAGTCTTCTAGCTTCTCACGCTCCCGGAAGAAACTTTCACGGGCCCGTAGGCTATTACCGCGCTTACCTGGGGATTGGGCTTCAGTGCATTACCCTAAGATTTCAGCGTTCCAGCTTCTCAGATTCCCGAGTTAAGAATGTACACCAAACTACAAAAAAACGCATAAATAAGTTCGGATAGATCCAGGAAAACGGAATTGATCCAGTGAACTAATTTTTTCAGTCTCATAAATTACAAATGATCAAATTAGTTCAGTTCAACGAAAAGCAACCACTTCAAATTTGACTCGATGAACCAAGGCAGAGGCAGGAAGCGGAAGCCCCCAAATGTATCCAGGCCCCCAAAAGCAGACAAAAAATAATTTCACAAATAACCTTCGTAACGTTCTCATTCTGCATGGTTATTTTCTCGGCCGTTTCAGCTTTCACTGTATTCCAGGCCTCAGCAATCGCAACCGCATCGTCATTTGATGACTGCGAAAAACTGCACTGCTTTTGACACGCCGAACTGTGCTCTGCTTCCAGCATTTTCACTTTCTCGTTCATCTGCTGCGTTTTGTCTTTCACCGTACCCACGTATTTCTCGAGCACATCGCTGACCTGAAATTCAAAAATCTGTTATTATTCAAATGTTTTACAAAAATATAATCGGACTGCAATGCACCCGGCATTCCAGAGCCAATAACCAAAAAAGCAGAGGAAATAACCTAACCAAAACAAAAAATATGAGGAAAATTTTAAGCAAAAATTTTAAGAACAAAAATGAGGAAAATATTGTATTTGGATTTCATAGAAGGCTTTTCGGGCTAATCCTTTGAGTTAAACTAAATATTCTTTGTTACGTCTTTCGACATACAGATTGCTCAGCCAGCGCGAACACTTGCTAACAATGTGGTCGACTGTTTCCTCTTCACGCCCGCACGTTCGGCAACGGGTGGAGGCATTGGGATCCGTGCTCCGATTCCTTGTAGTAAGGGCCCATTCCTGTACCCCGAGGACATTACGAAAATTGAGGCCACTTATCACTGTCTTCTGCATCCATAGAAAAAAACGATCTTGCAAGCTAATAAGAGCTAATCCACTTCTTTCCGATTAATGGAACCAGAAATTTTACAGTTCTTGGAGATTCTAGAATGAAATTTTTCTGAAACATCTTGGCGGAACAAGGTCAGGTCAAGGTCAGGAAAACGCGAGTTATAACTAACCGCACTCTTCAGTTCTTCTGCCTGGCCAACTGATACGCTGCTGTAGTCATTATTCACCGCACAAAGAGTTTCTGTTAATCGTTTATAATTTTCCACCTGAAACAAATTTTCTTTGG